AAATGGACAACCATGTGAATTTTCTACTGCTGGAAGTAGCTCTGTAGGCTAGTCATGAATGAAAAGTTTTGTCAGTTTCTCTGAAGGTATATGTAAAAACTGCAGAGATCTTAAAGATTACCTCCACACAAAAAACTTCACAATTGAAACTTGGATTTATAATCTTTTCACTTTTGATATTGTATTAAGCAGTGATATGAAATCAATTCTCAGACATTCTTAGGTTCCTTGCACAAGCCTAACCTAGCATCATTTGGCAAAGTGAGCTGTGATTCTGTTTGTTACCATATACCTTTCTCGGAGTTTTCAGTACTACTTTTCATCAAAACAGGAAGTGTATAACCTTTGGATACCAAAGATAATACTCAGTTTATCATGTTCCAAAACTAGGACAGTATGTGACTTCTTTAGCCAAACAATAGCAGCTTATAATTTATATGTTCTTTCCTACTGAATTAACATTTATTTCCTGTTTAATTTGTATACTTTATTTCTTTTTAACAGGAAATGGCCATTAATTTTGATTCAAAAGTTAGGGAAATAATCCTTCAGGTTTTATAAACGTTTATTTTTAAAATATGGCAATATGAAGAAAATTAGTTTCCAATACAATTATTATTGCATTGGAATAAAATAATTTTATAAATTATAAATAACTATAATTATAAGATAATTATAAATAAAATAATTTATTTTCTAAATTATATATACAATTTTTATGTATAAACTGTTTGGATTTTTTTCAGGAAATAAGGTTAAGGAAAGTTTATCCATAGCTTTATCAGATTCTCTAAGAGGTTAATTAACCAAAAATACTAAAAAACAGACTATTTTTTAGATCAATTTTAGCTTCACATCCCAAATGAAAGAAGGGTGCAGAAATATATATTCCCTGCCCCCAAATCCTTGCATAACCTTCTCCATGATGAACATCTTCCTATGAGAGTGTTACGTTTGTTACAACTGATGAGCTTACGTTGACACGTCATTATTACCCCAAGTCCATAATTTTCGTTAGGGTTCACTCTTGGTGTTTTACATCCTATAGGTTTTGGGCAAATGTATATATGACATGTATCCAGCATTATAATATCACACAGAGGAGTTTCACCGCCCTAAAAATCCTCTGTACTCTACCTATTCATGTCTCCCTTCTCCTTAACTCCTGGCAGTTACTGATATTTTACTGTCTCCATAGTTTTGCCTTTTCCAGAATGTCTTACAGTTGGAATCATACAGTATGTAGCCTTTCCAGATTAACTTTTTTCACTTAGTAAGACATGGTTAAGTTTTCCTTATGTCTTTTCATGGCTTGATAGCTCATTTCTTTTTAGCACTGAATAATAGTGTTGTTTTCTGGGTGTACTACAATTTGTCCACTTGCCTACTGAAGGACATCTTGGTTGCTTCCAAGTTTTGGCAGTTATGAATAAGGCTACTATAAACATCTGTTTGCAAGGTTTTATATGGGCATTTTTCAGCTCCTTCAGGTAAATACAAAGAACTGTGATTGGGGCTACACCGGAAAGATGGCGGACCAAGAGCAAAGAAAAATCCCTTTGGTCCCAGAAAATCTCCTGAAAAAGAGGAAGGCCTATCAAGCCCTCAAAGCCACTCAGGCAAAGCAGGCACTTTTGGCAAAGAAGGAGCAGAGGAAAGGAAAAGGGCCCAGGTTTAAGCGATTGGAATCATTCCTACATGATTCCTGGCGGCAGACACGTGACAAGGTGCGTGTCAGACGACTGGAAGTGAAGCCTCACGCCTTGGAATTGTCAGATAAACATTCTTTGGCCTTTGTCGTACGCATTGAAAGGATTGATGGTGTGAGTTTACTGGTGCAGAGAACCATTGCAAGACTTCGCCTAAAGAAAATTTTTAGTGGTGTCTTTGTAAAAGTCACTCCCCAGAACCTAAAAATGCTGCGTATAGTGGAACCTTATGTGACCTGGGGATTTCCAAATCTGAAGTCTGTCCGGGAACTCATTTTGAAACGTGGACAAGCCAGGGTCAAGAATAAGACCATCCCTCTGACAGACAACACTGTGATTGAGGAGCACCTGGGGAAGTTTGGTGTTATTTGCTTGGAAGACCTCATTCATGAAATTGCCCTCCCGGGGAAGCATTTCCAGGAGATCTCATGGTTCTTGCACCCTTTCCACCTCTCAGTGGCCCATCATGCTACCAAAAATAGAGTGGGCTTCCTCAAGGAGATGGGCACACCTGGCTATCGGGGTGAACACATCAATCAGCTCATCCGCCAGCTGAACTAGAACCAGGTGCCAAACTGCAATAAATTTTTATCAATGAAGTGGAAGCATGTGTTTTTGGGTTTGGAGAATTTGTATCAAGTGTCTTCAGAGATTATTTCCTGCTTTATCTTTAAAAACTGGAAAAGAGGGGTCAAAGAAAAGACAGTAGCTGGCCAGGCGCAGTGGCTCATGCCTGTAATCCAAGTACTTGGGGAGGCTGAGGAGGGCGGATCACCTAAGGTCGGGAGTTCGAGACCAGCCTGACCAACATGGCGAAACCCTGCCTCTACTGAAAATACAAAAATTAGCGGGCATGGTGGCCCATGCCTGTAATCCCAGCTACTCGGGAGGCTGAGGCAGAAGAATCGCTTGAACCCGGGAGGCAGAGGTTGCTGTGAGCCAAGATCACACCATTGCACTCTAGCCTAGGCAACGAGCGAAACTCTGTTTCAAAAGAAAAAAGAAGAAAAAAACAGTAGCTTATGTTCATTGCAAGCACCTCTCATCACAATCCAGTTCCAAGGAAAAATTCCAGCGTTTTCTACATTGGCTGCTGCCTCGTCTGAAATCAGCACATTCCATGGAGGAAGGAGTTCTGCTTTGCTGCATCTTTTATCCTAGGGCTTAATGTTGGTAATTGAGTAACTCTAGCATTTGTACAAGGCTTCTTAAGACTCCTGCAGCAGTGGACAAGCCCAGGTACATAAGACATAATTGAATCTGGTGATTCCTGGGGCCTTGTGAGAAAGACTTGAAATACGCATAGGAGGAAAGGTACAAAAATAAATGTTTACTTGTCTCTGCAAAAAAAAAAAAAAAAAAAAAAAAAATTATCAATTCCAGTAACTTTAATCACTTAATGAACCCTCTTATCTTTTCGCTGTTCTACCTTCTGAATTACTTATGGAGCAAGCCAACTCAAAGTGCTCATTGATGGAACTTTTGAATGGAAATAGATCAGCCTCAATTTTGCATGCCAGCATGAAAGGCAGCATCCACGGTTCTTAGGATTCAATTTGAAAATTTAGGTTAATTAATTTTTTTAACCCTAAATAACTCTGATAACATTATTCATTCAGGGGCTTATTGTAGGGACATGTATATTGTTCCTTATGAAATTTCCTTAAAATTTTCTTTATTAACTATTTTACTTTTGAGAGTAAACTTTTATAACTTTATGCTAGCTAAAAGTGAGAGAGAAATATAGCAGATTAGAGCCAAAGTACTTATCCAGAACGAACATATGAGAGTCTTTATAAGACTATGTGTGTTGCCCATGGGATTTAATTTTTTTTCATAGTTTTGTATAAAATGACAAAAAAATATGGTTTGAAAGTAAAGGTGCCCCCAAAATCTGGAGAGCAATTGCTGAATTTATGATGTTGGGATTCGTTTTGTAACATTTATTTATAGATTGTATGTTATTTCAAATGATTTAATGGTATTCGCTACTTAGAAAAATCTTGCAGCAGATCCTTCTAACCTACGAAGAATTCTTGGGTTGAGTCAATGGATACTCTCATGTATATGTGCTGTGTGGTTGTATTTTTGTATAATAGATTTTCTCAAAGCGGGAGACTTTTAGCTCTAAAAGTTTCCTCCTGCCAACTTGTTTGCCATCTTGGGAGAAGTGGGCCAGGTACAGGGGGTGCACCCATCTCTTCTTAAATTGTTGCCCAGGTGTGTGAGTGTATGTGTGTGTATGCATGTATGTGTGCGTTTGAGTGTATGTGTAAATGTGTGCATATGTGTGAATGTGCATATGCATGTATTTGTGTGGGAGTGTGTGCATGTGTAAGTTTGTGTACGTGAGTGTNAAAAAAAGAACTGTGATTGGTAGCAATATGTTTGTTTTGTAAGAAAACACCAAACTGCCTTCCAAAGTGCCTATACAGGTTTGTAGCCTAAGAGCAATACCTAGATACCTACTAGGTATGTAGTAGACTATACCATCTAGGTGTTATAATTATCATCCATGATGTTCACGCAGTGACAGAATCACCTAATGATGCATTTCTCAGAATGTGGCCCTGTTGTTAAGCAATGTATTCATAGAATGAAATTCTATATAGAAGTTTTTTTTTAATTTACTACTTCCTTATATGTAGGAGTTTAAATGAGTATTTCTATAAATATGATTCAACTTAGATAAACCTCAAAGCAATTATTATCATAAAAGGCAAGTTGTAGAGGGTTATGTACGCTGTGATCTTTATGTACAGCAGTCTCCCCCAACCTTTTTCCATGATTTCACTTTCTATAATTTCAATTGCCCTCGGGCAACTGCAGTCTGAAAATGTTAAGTGGAAAATTCCAGAAATAAACAAGTTATTTATTGATTTATTTTTTTTGAGATGGTGTCTCGCTCTGTCACCCAGGATGGAGTGCAGTGGCACAGTATCAGCTCACTGCAACTTTCGCTCCCAGGTTCAAGCAATTCTCCTGCCTCAGTCTCCCAAGTAGCTGGGATTACAGGCGCCTACCACCACACCCAGCTAATTTTTGTATTTTCAGTAGAGACGGGTTTTACCATGTTGGCCAGGCGGGTCTCAAACTCCTGACCTCAAGTGGTCTGCCTGCATTGGCCTCCCAAAGTGCTGGGATTACAGGCATGAGCCACTGCACCCAGCCTATATATTGATTTCTGATCAAATTGGGAAACCTGGAGTTCTCCACAGATCCCATCTTCATAGGCCAATCATGTCAACTGGAGAATGCCAAGGTTTATAAATTTGGAAAGGAGAGCTTCATTTCTCATAAAGGGTTGCAGCCTTCCGGGTGGCCATTCTAACAGGCTGGGAAGCATAGCCTCCAGTCAGAAGCCAGAAATAGGCAGTTCCTCAGCTTTATCATAGGTATATATGTATAGGGTTCTGTACTATCTGCAGTTGGGTATTCACTGAGGGTCTTAGAATATATCCTCCATGGATAGGGGATACTACTATAAAATGTAAATACATACAAAGTCATACCATATTTGGTTATTTAATACTGTATAGCAAATTACAGCAAAGAGGCATAAAATAATCTTTTATTATCACTCATGTTTCTATGGATTAGGGATTTAGGAATAGTTTGGCTGAGCAGTTTGTAGTCTCATGAGGTTGCAGCCCCGTGTCAGCTAGGGACTTAATCTCATCTGAAGGCTTGACTGAGGCTGGAAGATCCGATTCTAAGATGACCCACTAACATGGTTGACAAATTTACTTTTGGTTTAAGGTGCCACTTCTCTATGTGGACTTCTCCATAGGGCTGCAGAATTGTCCTCATGATATGATGACTGGCTTCCCCTAGAGCAAGTGTACAAGAGACCAAAGCAGCTATAAAGTCTATTATGACATAGCTTTGAAAGTTACACATTATCACTTCAGCTGTATCATATTGGTTATGCAGATCAGTCCTGATTTAATGTGGATGACACTACACAGGGCATGAATACAGACAATCCCTGACTTAGTGATGGTTCAACTTATGGTTTTTTGACTTTATGATGGATTCGTTGGAATATTAAATGTATTTTTGACTTACAGTGGGTTTAACAGGAGGTAATCTTACAAGTCAAGAGGCATCTATACCGTCTTAGTCCATTTCTTCACTGCTGTATCAATTACAAACAGAGTAATTGATGAAGAAAAGATATTGTTTGGCTTTCGGTTCTGGGAAGTCCAAAATTGAGGAGTCCATCTGGCGAAGGTCTTCTTACTGCATTGTAACATGGCAGAAGGCATTACATGGTGAGGAAGTGTGCTCGAACTTAACCATTTTTGTTTTATCAGGAACCCACTCCCCCAGTAACTAATCCACTCCTGTGATAATGGCAAAAATCCAGTTACAAAGGGCAGAGCCTTCATGACCTAATCATCTCTTAAAGGTCCTTCCTCTCAACATTGTTACAATGGCAATTAAATTTGAAGGTGAGTTTTGGAGGAGGCATTCAAACCATAGCAAATACCTACAGGCATGGATTATAGAGAACCTTCTTGGAGGCCAGCTATCACAATACTAAATATTGTGTATTGAGATATATGTTTGTGCATGTGTATATGTGTGTGTGTATCTGCGTGTGTGTGTGTGTGTGTAAATGTATCGAAATGGTAAACACCAACTACCAATTTCAGATAGTGGCTTCATTTGGGAAAAGATCACCCAGCTTCAGTGTAGAAAATTGAACTATAGCAAGGCTGGAATGAAGGACTCCAATTACAGTGTAGCTGGTAGAAGAAAGAGATGGTGGTGGCCTGGACTAAAATGGTGGTAATGTAGAGAGTATCAGAGGGCTTAGAGATGTTTAGAAAATAGAATGAAAGGGCATGATGACTGACTATATATGAGGAATGTCAGATTCTGGCTCTAAGAATAGTCAGGGATACCAGGTAATTTCCTGGCTTGGTCAAAAATAAATAATGATGGTGTTATTGGTTGAGATTATGGATGGTTAGGGAAGATGGATTCACTTTGAGGACTTTTGAGTTTGAGTCATGGCTGTGGGAGACCCAATTTCTAGCAGACAATTGAATACAGGCTTGGGATATCATCAGCATTTACATGAGACTTTGGGAGAACATGAGATTGCCTAGAGAGTGTGTGAACTGAGAAGCACGGAGGCCTAGGACAAAGCACTTAGGAATGTTTCAGGGAGGAACAGAGGAAGAATAGCTCATGAGGGGAAATTTAGAAGGTCTAGACAGAAAGATAGAAAAACTAGAAGCATCGTAAAAGCCAAAGGGAAAACTTTTTACACAGTGAAGGAGTCATTAATATCATTAGATGCTGCTAAAACAAGCAAGTTAAGAGCTAAAATCTCTACTAAATTTAGCAACCTAATGTCATGTGTGACCTAGAGGAAGAGGGCATTGCATTGGATTGAACTGCTGTGACCTTAGGAATATTATCTTTTTCTTTGGTGTGTGGTTTTTTTTTTTTTTTTTTTGGGACAGAGTTTCTCTCTTGTCTCCCAGACCAGAGTGCACCGTGGCTCACTGCATCCTCCGCCTCCTGAGTTCAAGTGATTCTTCTGCCTCAGGCTCCCAAGTAGCTAGGATTACAGGCGTCTGCCACCACGCCTGGCTAATTTTTGGTGTGTGTTTTGTTTGTTTTTTTGAGACGGAGTCTCACTATGTCACCCAGGCTGGAGTGCAATGGCATGGTCTTGGCTCACTGCAACCTCTGCCTCCTGGGCTCAAGTGATTCTCCTGCCTCAGCCTCCCAAGTAGCTGAGAATACAGGTGTCCTCCACAATGCCCGGCTAATTGCGTGTGTGTGCGTGCATGTGTTTTTGAGACATAGTCTCGCTCTGTCACTCAGGCTGGAGTATAATGGCACGGTCTGGCTCACTGCAACTTCTGCTTTCCGGGTTCAAACAATTCTCCTGCCTCAGCCTCCCGAGTAGCTGGGAATACAGGTGCCTACTACCATGTCCAGCTAATTTTTGTATTTTTAGTAGACATGGGGTTTCACCATGTTTGCCAGGCTGGTCTCAAACTCCTGACCTCATGATCTGCCCACCTTGACCTCCCAAAGTGTTGGGATTACAGGTGTGAGCCACCGCACTGGCCAATTTTTTGCATTTTTAGTAGAGGTGGGCTTTCACCATGTTGACCAGGCTGGTCTTGAACTCCTG